CTGTGGTCCTCCCCGTCCTCCTGATCACTGTGGTCCCGTCCTCCGGATCCTGCAGTCCTCCCTGTCCCCCTGATCCCGGTGGTCCTCCCCGTCCTCCTGAACTCTGTGGTCCCCCTTCCTCCCCGTCCTCCTGATCCCTGCCTGTGCTTATAGTGTTGGTCTATTCTGTTCAGTGATGGCCTCCTTTTTCCTGCTCAATCTCTGCTTTACCAAGAACGATGTCCTTCCCCTGGACTCTTCTCTCCTGATAATGTGTCCAAAATCCACAAAACTTGCATCCTATCATGAGGATGTCAGAGTTGATGGAAAGACCTTTGGTGCATGAAATTTTGTTAACACACCAATCTGAGGCGTGTCAACACCATTGTGGTTGGTAACATGGCCTTGACATTGCACAGCAATCCAGGTTCATGGTGTTTTGGCCGCTGGTACTTTCTCAATCAAAGGCCACTAACAACCCATTGCCATCACCTAGTTGTCCCAATATTGACTTTTGGTCTTGAGCAAGGGGAACACGGTCATTGTCCCCTTAGGGCACAGGGTCCCCCAGTCTCCAGAGGTCTGTTGAGAAGAGTGGAAGTTCCCAGACTTTTAAGTTCTCAGGGACATCTGGGAGGCTTCCTTGCTATTGACGAGGTTTCCCTGTGGAGTGATCACTGCCCTGCACCTCCAGGAAGCCATGACTCTATTGCTTAAGAGGGCATCCAACAAGGGCTCCACGTGCCATCTAGACACTAGCTGTGCGCTCCACACTCCCGTCCAGCTCACGTCAGGGCCACTCAGGGGCCGTCAGTCTATCCGTCACTGTCTGCGGTGCCCGCGCCTCCAGGAGTCTGCCTGTTAGAACAGCCTGTGGTGGAGTGGGGTCCCCACACAGTGCCTGCTTACCCACCCATACTGGTAGCCAAGACACAGGCTACAGCATCTAGCTTCTGAAACTGATCGTTCCCCATTGTTTTTCCAGATAACCTGTTCAAGCCCAAAGAAAGGTGCATTTCAGAGAAGGAGATGTACACACGGTCTAAAAGGTACTGTGACCATGACCATGTCTTGTGGCCCCAGTAGCCGCTCCTGTCAGGGCGCCTGCACAGCCCCATTGTGACCGTCACTGGCCATAATCCCCAGCGGATGGTGGGGTCTCCTCACAG